GTCAGCGGCGAGGGCGGGCGGCAAGCACGTGCACCTGCCGGTAACACGGGATCCGCGGCACCGGAAAGCACCCGCCAGGCATCTGCTGGGAGAAAAGAAGGTGGAGCCACTGTGTTCCTGCCGACACGCTCCCTGGTTAGTCACCTCCCGCACGGGACCGAGCGTGGAGCACCCAGGCCCAGCCCCCGGGCATCTCATGTAGAGACGTTCCTTGTTCTCATCTCTTTTCCGGAGCCTGGACGAGGTCTGAACTTGGAGCTCAGGGCTGGGTGGGCAGCGGCCACAGGTGGGGGAAGCGGGGACGCTGTGGTGGACTCAGCCTGGTGGTGTCAGCAGCTCATCTTTTCTCGTTTGCTTTGGTTTGTATTTCTGTCCGTCTTTTGCTAAAGATTCTCTTAAGATGCAAGTTCGTCTGGAAGTGCTCAGTCCTATGGCCTAACCCAGCTCCGTGAAGGCCGGCCCTGAGGAGGGCTGTGGGCCGGAGGGAGGACAGCGGGCGGTGCTGTCAGGTTCCCACCCAGCTTTCCCGAGAGCAGGATGGGCGTCAGGAAATGTGGGGACCCTCCCGGTCCTCGAGCTCCAGGGGAGACAGGAACACACACAGGAGCCGAGGTGGTCAGGGCGGCCTTTCTTCCTGGGGGTCCAGGCCCCATGGGTTGGGCCTGCGAGTGACGCTCAGGGTTCCGGAGGGAATTCTCGGGGTTCCGGAGGGAATTCTCGGGGTTCGGGAGGGAATTCTCGGGGTTCGGGAGGGAATTCTCGGGGCTCAGGAGGGACGCTTGGGTTCGGGAAGTGAGCTGGGGTGTGAGGGACTTCGAGGGGCTGGAGGGCTGGAACTCAGCCACGGGTGGGAGGCCTGGGCACCCCCTGACGGGAACAGTGGGTCGGGTGTAAAGACATCGCATGGGGGGGCGTCTCTAGAAAGATCCCCTGAGCCTGGCCTGTGCGCTCAGCTGGTTGGGGGTCGTCCTGGGCACTGAAAGGTTGTGGGTTCGGTTCCCAGTCGGGGCACAGGCCCGGGTTGCAGGCTGCATCCCCAGTAGGGGGCGAGCAGGAGGCAGCCCATCCATGCTCCCCTCTCTCCTCCTCCTCCCTTCCTTTCTCTAAAATCGATGTTTAAAACAATCTTTAAAAGAAAGAGAGAAACATCACCGGGAACAGAGAGGAGACGGTGGTTTGGTCTGATGGTTGGGTTTGTGTTTACGTTGTTGTTGGGGGGGTGCGGGTGGGGGGGCCTCGCCAGACAAACAGGAGGCCGCCTGGGCGGTTTGGCAGAAATCCCT